TATATATATCTCCCAACACGGGGTGGCCCGGCATGGCCAGGTGGTTAGGGCACTCGACTCGCGATCTGTGGGTCGCGAGTTCGAATCCCCGTCCCACCAAACATGCTCGCCTTTTCAGCCGTGGGGCGTTATTATGTGACGGTCAATCTCACTATTCGTTGGTAAAAGAGTAGCCCAAGAATTGACGGTGGGTGGTGATGACTAGCTACCTTACACTGCTAAATTAGGGACGGCTAGCGCAGATAGCCCTCGTGTAGCTTTGCGCGAAATTCAAAAACAAACAAAAACAAACCCAACACGGGTCCGGTCAATTTGACCAAGTCACGTGATCTCTTGTACTCGTTTAAAGTTGATATAAATTTAATACTTATAACTTACTTATATATTGGGTATATCTTCACGAAATTTGGCAGTCTTTCAGTTAATATTACAAGTCTTTCACATACAAAAAGTCATATTTCTTAGTGAAGTATTTCTAATAAAATAAAATAAAGATTTGTATATGAATATATTGAGTATTTGTTTTGAAAAGTCCGTGTGCAAAGTAATTTTCATGTTAAAATTAAAAATACTTTTAGTCATCTCAAAAATCTCAACTTTCTTTTGTGTAATCCCTAAAACCTCCTAAATGCATTTCAAACGTTATTTTTCTCATTAAAACCTTATAGTTTATATGTTATTTTCTCTATGTTATCTCAAAACGGTATCGGTCAATTCGACCGACCTCGTAACCACAAAAAAATCTAAACAAGCCTAAATTAACCTTCTTTTCTTTCTAAAAGGACTTCAAATTGTAACCTGAAACTACATTCGTTTATCTTAATGAGCTCTAAGTTCGTAACATTATATATTTATTTATAATCATATTCTATTATTTTATTGCCCTTTGAACCGTGTCTAACTGCTATCCCCGCTATTATAAGTTGTAAATCACTCGGGGGAACGTGCAGCTCGCGTTACGCTATCGAATTACATTACCTACTAGCTGCACGCGTGAGTGCGTCGTGAACCATTTTAATTATATTATTATTATGTATTTTACCTAATATAGTCTTAAATAACTTATAAAGATCCGTACTTTTAATTCTAGTTACTTTTATAATAACAATAAATATGAAAAACAAGAAATAAAGTACTTACCCAATCTTCTTTTTTCTTGCCCTGGATTGTCGAGGAGAGTTAAGCCTGATTTATTTTAGTGATTATGGTAAATCACTTAACAATTTTTATTTAATTAAATAATACACCAAAGAACATATACTAAAAACATGCAAAAAGTAGACAAATTCACTTACTTCTAAAAATTGTCCTGGCTTTCTAACTGTGCCACAAAAGCCGTTACAAGTTCATTCAAGCTAGTCGTTAACTTACCCACGGGAACAATGTTGCTACTCCGAATGAAATTGACGGTTATCTGTTCAGAACACAATGTTATACAATGCGTCATTTGATTGATGAAAACCTTGACTTTATATTGGTTATAGGTAATATATAATAAAACGTAAAAGAGAACTATCAACCAATTGTGAAAGAGAGGATGTGAGAAGTGAGTGTGGCAGGAGGGATCTGATTTTCTATTCATAGCTCTGTAACTAAACAAAATTGAAGGCTATAAAAAGTATGGTCTATTTGAGCAATAACGATTTTATAGAGAGTATTTTACGATGAATTTCTTATATTTTCAAGGGGTGATGGATAAAATAGGGATGATGACATGCTAAGACAAAATGTGTCACGTGTGTCGCACTAGTGGAAATACAGGATTTTTTTAATATACTTCCTTGTAGAACTAGGAACTTAAAACTTGTATACTATTAAAATATGGAGTATTAGCTAAGATGTTATGCTATTCTAATTGGTATAACATAAACAAAAAGTAGTTTTATAAAATTTTGAATATAAAACACTAAAACTTGTCATGCGCAGTAAAGTGTACCCGGGCCGATAGGGATATTTATATGTCTAAATGAGGTTTTTGTCATCACTGTTTTCTTATACTATGTTGCACTTTGCATATAATTTAATATTGCTGTATATTACATCACATCTACATATAAGATGTAAACTTATGGCAGGAAAGATCGCGCAATTGGTGGTTCAAAGATATTTGATGAGATTCTCAACAGTATTAGAAACAGAATTTATCTGTCTGTGACACTTTTGAGGTTAAGCTACGATGATAAAGTGTAGAGTTATTTAGTTTCAGTCTTTCTTTCTTTTTTAACCTTCAATTTCCTTAAGCGCTTCCACTTTATCTTATTCACATTTTCGATCTTGGTGAAAATGCAAATGAGAAAAATGTGTTCAGAATTTTAAGATTTTGTATTTTTAAGTAATCATTCTTAGTTAAATTTTCACAGGAAGAATCGCAGAATGGCCAGCAAACATATAATAACATATAGATAACCTGACAAATGCCTGTTTCTGATCTAGGATTGTAACTTAGATAAATATTCAGAGCATATACTGTTATGACCAAATATCAAATATATCAATTTTGCGTTTTTAGAAATTTGAATCGCATACTTGCTACTAGTACTAGTTTTGAACTTTGCAATTTGATACCATAGACTTCTGTTTGTTCGATATAGAACATTACAGTGAACCATCGATTACCCAATGAATGATCTAAAGTTAAGTTCGTAATTATTTTTGTACATTCATATTGTATTTACTTTCATATTCCGAACTTACCTTTTCTGAATTTGACTCGTTTGTTTTGAACCATGGGTTTTCAGGTACATTTGTTTAAATTCATACAAAGTGAAGGAATAAAATTTACTTTTGAAAGAGTTTATCAAACTTTTACTGTTTTTTTTTTTTTTGTCTAGAACACTATTCAGCTGAAGTCTTCTAGGACTTGTGTTTAAAACTTGTCTAATAACATGATAATTAAATTGGATGAACAGTATACAGTAATATTAATATGTTTCAGAACAAATAATCCTATGTCATTGGTCTTAATCAGGAGGTGTTTTCACTGTGATATATATATCGCATTAAAGTTTATTATTGAAGAATACTGTTGGAGCCTATTCGCTCTTTTTCCTCTAACAGGCAGATACACCTCATTAAAGTTTTCAACTTTCTGTAATACTTATGCTTCCTTAAAACAAATTTTGTCACCTCTCCTCCACTATAGCAATTTCTGGAAGTAAAAAACAAGCAAAAACAACTTATTTGCTTAGTTAAAGGAATATATATTTGAACTTTACTATAAGTTCAAGCTTATTACAAGATTTTAACTAGGATTCATTAAACAGACAAAATGACTTTTGAAGTGACCTCACTTTCTTGAGAGTTAGTTTACTGTTGTTGACTGATAGACGATGGACATACATAGCCTAAGATGAAGGAAAGAGATTGGACACAAATCTACAGTAACATGAAATCATCTTTATTTATTTTGTTTAAGTGAAGTCGGACTACTGAAAAGAGTAGCCAAGGTTTGAGAAATCATGCTGCTATACATGCTCTGCAATGTCAGCTGCGTGTGCAATATAAAAATAACAATGAAAACAATTATTCCTTTCGGAGAGTCAGACAATGTTATTTTGCCAATGGGTGCTGCTTGCTGATTACTTTGACTCTGGTCAGTAGTTGAGAATAAAATTGAGAATGACTGTATTTGAGCCTTAGGTGTCCCTGACTTCGTCACTTATTACAGTTGCAAATAAGGTTGAATGTTCAATTTGCAAATGACCTGTAAAATCCAATTTTCTTTTCTGTAAAACTACTTTAAACGTTTTAATCACATACGTACGTTAATGTGGATTCAGGAATAACTTTATCATGTCCTGAAAGTACTGTATTCTTGATTCAACCATAAATACAGTTATTCTAGTAAATCATCAGCCAGAATAACTATGGAGTTTTGAAAATCCAATGCAACCTTTGCATAAGTGACAGACACTACGGATTCCGACACATGTGGCAGTGTTCTAGATAAAATGTACTCATGAAAGAAATGAAAATATAATAGTTCTGGCAAATATTCATAGGGTAAAATAACTTTATATTATTTTCAATTGTCCACAAACATGAATTTTTGAGTTCGAAATATAAATTATTCAATTACCAATCGTCATGTAGAATGTGAAAATAACTGTCTGGTAATGATTTGCCTGTCCTTGTGAGGTGACACTGAGCAATGAAGATCCTAAGTGAAGAAACTTTAGTGAAAGTCAGTTCCACTGAGAGTAAACTTCAGGAAAGTTTAGGATTCAGTATAGATTAAAACACGTTAGTAGGCACCATAGATATCAAGATACGAAAGTCACTATCTTCTTCTGGCAATTGCCAAAATATATTTTATACGGAACCGAAGATATTAGAAAACTTAAAACAGAATAAAAATAATTTGATTAACTTGAAACTAGTGCATGAAATGTTTGTTTATTAATAACCGCGAAGAAAAAAAAAAGAAGCCTAAATATTAAAGTTGTGTAGTATTTTGAATATCAGTATAATGTATAAAACGACAGGTAAAAGAGTTCACATTTGTACATTGTACATTTAGTAATGGTCGTTTTCAATTGTTTTTCAAATTTTGTTGAAATGTTAACAATCCATGGTACTACTGGTACTACAACAAGCACAAAAAGTATAGTTATTTTAGCTGTTTTGCAGGCATTAGGCATTATCACAGAAGCGAATGCATATGCTGAAGTGATTGTGTTATACAGATGACAGCCAAATCCCATTGTTCATTGAGAAAAAAAATAGCCTAGAAGTTGACGTTTGGTGCTGTTGACTAGCTGCGTTCCTTCAAGTCAGTATATTAATTCAAAATTAAGGTCGGTTATCTCAGATATTCCCTGAGTAACTTTCTGCAAATATCCAAAAGAAAATATAAAACTTAATTTATTATACTTTAAGTAGCTTTTAGTTCTGATTTGTAGGGTCAGTTTGTTTTGATCAGAAGCTGTTAATAGCACATGCTCAGATATATATTATTAAATTCTTGACGAAATTTATGAATGTTAATTTCCTTTTTACAGCAGAATCCTCAGCTGATGGAAGATATTGTGTCACCACTGAACACTATCCGCTCTCTCACAGGTTAGATAAAAATTATGCCGCAAATGTTTACTTACTATATTGACACTTTACAGACAGTTTTGTTTTACTTGATAATACATATATACGACTGTCTTCAGTGAGTTGATACATTGAAATGCTATAACGTTGTCTTAATGACTCAACAAAGCAATCTTGCTAAAGGCAAATCTCGAAGATCTACACCACTATTAAATTACAGTTGCTTCCATGTAAACGAAAATAATTCATTTCTTTAAGAATACATTCTAAGTTAATTCACTCGTTAAAATTCAGAGGTATTTTTAAAGTCTTTCCTAGTTATCTTGTCATTATACTCACAAGGATACTTATCTTTCTAGGAACCTGTTGAAAAAATTGGAATAACTATTTTAATTATTAATACTTTATAACAACTGGTTTATGCGTATAAGTAGAAGGATATTTATTACTATGCATAATAGATATGACTTATTTTTAATTTGTCTGTATTTTTGGGTCATAGATTCTCCCAAACGAGCGGATAAGAAACCTACAAATGGAACACACCTTAACCTTCCACCGGCTAGTAAAAATACAGACCCCACCTCCCCAGAAGCACAAAATCCTGCTCTACCTATCACACAGGTGAGAAAATATAACACAACTTGATAAAGAAATAAGTTAATCAATAATAGATACATATATTTATGCGTGTGTAAACAACAAAGGCAAAAACATTTGGAAGGAAGAGACAAGCGAAAGGGTAAAAGATAAAAGTTCGAGTAGCTTTAAAGCTGTATGAAAAATGCCTCTTGAAATCATCTGCTATTTACATCCCTAAGAATCGGGTCAATAACTCTTACCAATTATCAATATTTATCAAGGAAGAATGCACTACTGTAAATTTACGAATGTCCAATCAACTACATTGATATTAGTCTTTGAAGTTATTTCAAAAGACGATAAAAACATTATAAGTTAGCTAACTCTATTCTGTCTAAAAAGAAATGGCACATTTAACTTTCCTAATTTCATAGGCAGCACCATCACTGATATTCTGGATCAAATGATTTGTTAAAATAGAAGAAATGTAAATCAGGAGAACATTGATAACTAATCGAAGTTTTTCATTCATTATCGTATATTATTTTAGCTATATGTTGATGTTATTCAATTTTATATACTTTCAACAAACTACTCCTGCATTTTGTTCTCTGCTAACTGCGAAAGACATAGAGCAATAGAGAGATATGACTATTAATTGACCATATAGAGTTTATACCACATTTGAATAATCTTTAGATTATTTGCTCTCTGTATGACAGTCGAGGATTGTATACACATATTTTTGTAATATTCTCAGATTTTGTGTTATATATATGATTTACTTTAGTGTTATATACACTTCGAAGTATCTTTCCCGTGATACTTAAGTCTATATTTTAGTTATTTTTAGTTGAGAGTGAATTGGTTTTAGTATTGAAATGTTTATTTTATGGCACTTTTTTATATTAAGTACATTTTTTGTTTATTAAGAATGTTCTCTTTTGAGAGGATATTATATTGGCTACTCTTACGAGTTTTGTTTTTATTTCTAGAATGGTTTATCAAACGATGTGTGAGATTGTTTCATTACAATGATATTATAAGAATGGCGTTACAATTTTGTAGTGATCACAATTAGTTTATATAATAAATACCAATAACATGCTAGAGAACACTTTAATTTTTTCATTCATGCTCAAATTTTGATAACATGAAAGCTTTTAAGAAAAGATTAAGACACTCATTCAAAAATTCTTCTAAATAATACTGCATTTACAACATAATTGTGATTTTATGCACATAGACCCCGTATGTAATGCAAATGTTAAATCAATGGGACACTTTCGTCTAGTCACGGACAAGTAATAAAATGGTACTCAGAAAGGAAAGCATCACGTCAAAATACTTGTTATACAAATTGTTTACCTCCATATTCAATGAAAAAATTGTAGAGCTAAACATTTTAAAATATAATTAGCTTATTCAACTTTTGACACAGGGAAAAATATTTCGAATTTGTTGCTTTCAGAATGTTTTTTTTCCGTATATCGGAAACCTTGCTTCTACCAAACTATGAAACATTTTTCGCATCATATGTGACTCGTGCACAACTTCACAAACAAATTCATGGCTGATAGGTATATTTGATTCAAACAGTGGCTTTTAAAAAGGAACTCTATGAAAAACACAATTGACAATTATGGATATATTTGACATTCATCTTTTTTTTCAAACTTATTTCGAAACATTATATACAAACAGCATCAGAAAGATCAGGTAGATCACGTTTTTTAGACACTTGAAGTAAAGTTCTTAAATGCAGAGTAAGAGTGATTTCATTGATTAGTGAGTAATATGTCTTTGCTGTCAGTAAAAGTTAAGTTCATGTAGATCTTGTAAAAAAGGGTTCTCAGAAAATTAATTTAAAAAGTTATTTCTGGTGCTTTATTAATTTTGTGCTATTAATCATTAAAAAACCAAACAAATGTATTGCACAATATTTTGCCACACCAATAGGGATTATTTCCATTAAACTTGTTTCTGGTGAGCGAAATATCAATACAAAATTTGAAGCAACTACAACAATGTTGGTACAATTTCCGATCCACACAACACTGATACAAAAAAAACAGTTTTCGTAGAGCATATTTTAAGTTTAATGACATGGGGTTGTTATTTCATCCCCCCTGATTGTATGCATTAAAAAGCTCAATATGAATCTAAGAAAATATATGGTAGAATATATTCGAATGCTGACGGAGAACATTTAACCACAGCAGTTGCTACAACACTAATAACTTGCGTTGCACATAGGAAACCAATAACAAAAATCTTATTTAAATGCTACGGTAATAACATCACCCCCCCCCTACTCAACCCCACACACACATGCACACACCAAACTTTTGAAGGAAGAGATACTTTCTTGGAAATCCGTCACTTTCTAATGCACCCAAATCTAAAAGGGCGAGTATGTTCGATGACGGAACTTCAAACCTGTGACCTGCAGATTGCGAGTTGAGCGCCCTAGCCACCATCACCAGAAGAACTCAACCCCACTTTAAGACATAATTAGTGAAATGGGGAAACATTAAATTAGTAGATAGCTTGATGATGATGGCAATGATTATAATAAAAATAATAGGTTTAATAATTAAATAAAAACCTTAATACATAAACAATTATTTATTGTCACTGGATTATCTGCAATTTATGCACTACCGGCACTTGTGTTTTAATTATTTATTGTAATTTAAAAAGTATCTGCAATTTGTTCAAAGGCCACCATTCAACATCTTATTATATAAATATACCTATGTACATGCAGCTATTAAGGGCTTAAAGACCAGTGTGGTTGGTACATCAACGTACTTACGTTTTTATAAAATAGAAATAAACAGTCTAGAGCAAACCAATCCTTTTTGCAGAATAATGGTGTATTCTATTCAGAGGTCTCTTTTATAAACCGTTCTGCAAATATGGTAGAAAGCTTTATAATATTATAAGTAATCATCTTTCTTTAAAATTTGCCTCCATGTTCCAATTTGGTCTTCATAAAATGTATCTGAAAAATGCTCTCTACAAAGTTAGCAATATTGAGTAGTCTTCCGATTTTCCTTTTTCACTGTATTATCTCACAGTTTGATTGCATCTGTATACGTGAAAAATTCAGTCAGGTAGTCCTTCAATAGGATGGAAACTGATAAGTATCAAATAACGTATTTTTTATACTTTCAGTTTCTCCTTTGCTCTACATTGACTATAGTTTTAGTGCAACTTGTCTTTGTTAGAGAAAATCTGTATACATAAAGCATAAATTCACCTAAGATAACACAGTGTTAACCTTGCTTATATATTGAAAATATGGCCAAAAGAGACTAAAATAATACAGACTAGGCCAACTCCATTTTTCTTAACAAAATAGAGACAATGTATCCATATTTTAAAAATATTTTTAACTTAGGATATTTGGCTATGCCAATCAAACTGATAACAAATAATTATGAGAAACATTATCACTGGTCTTGAAATTAAAGTTTCACTTAAATTAAAGGTTATTTTATGATATCAAACTTGCTCAGGAAATCACAGTTAGATTTCAACATCACCTTCTAACTATGTACTCTACAGTGCTTATACAATTGATAAGAATATTAAAAGAGCTGCTTGGTTACTTGCTCAGATCACTAGCCTATGACTTCTCGAAGAGGAGATATAGGCAATTACATTACAACAAGACAACAGAGGTTGAGAAACGGTGATTAGTTAAAAATCAATAAAACTACACTTGTAATCAAGATAAAAGGCCAAGTTAGCGTATTTTGTTCAAAACAGGTTTGGAAATTCGTAAACACTATTGAATTTGTTCAGAGTACACAGAAATCAATTCAAAGTCAAAATTAGAGATCTGTTATATTGTTTTATATAGAAATGAAATAAGTAAAACGTTTTTACTGAATACATTTTAACTTCGAAGTTTTTTTAATGTGTGGAAGAACGACTACAAGTTCATTAGCAATAATATTTTTAATTAAATGTAGCTATTTTGTCCTGAGGCGGGAGCGTCGATCGGGAAGTGATGTAATTACAAATATTGGCCTTTTTCTTCAAAAATAAGTTATAAGAGTTATATTACACTTAACATGACTTCTGATAGGTCAGAATTCAATGAGGAATGTAATTTTAAATTTCACAGCCAATTAAAACCTGACTCGACCTTTTCTAGGATAAAAAAAAAGTTAACCTATGGGATGTAATTTACTTGCTACATCTCATAGCTAGAATTCTAGTTACAATTACTAGTGAATTTCCAATCCACATAGATTCCATGAGACATTGTTCTACAGCTACATTACCCAGACTCTCTTAGCTATGCCAGCCTTTAGCAATAAAGCAACAAGCTTACCATCAGTGAATACAATCATCTTACAAAATAAGAGTTTCGTGTAAAAATATCAGACTGCAAGAGCAGAGTACAAATTCTCTTGTGGAAATAGACACCAAACTGCAAACCAGCCCTCGTATTAGTATCTGAAATTAACCTTACAGCTTTACTAGCACTGACCAAAACTTCTAACCAAGTAGGTTTCATAACTTACCCGTTTAAAATAAATCCAGAGTTTTGTTCACATAACTAACACAGAAATTATGTTTTGAATGATATTACGAAAATAAAAGTAATCATAGAAAGAAATAAACAGAAATAGGTGATCCCACTATAATCGTCTATCCAGGTCACTTTTTGTTTTGTCAGTTAGGAAATATACACACATATATACTATCTAATGTAGGAGAAGTACATGTTCTAGGAACTTGCAGACAACCTCATCTTTCTTAGCATAAGAAATACTGCATGATTTGCTAACCGAAATGCCACTACAACTCACTAGATAAATTAAGTGATTATAAAAACGATAAACCAATAACTCACTTCCAAATATTCTTTTGTAGCTCAGAAAGTAAGGGTCACAATATCCTTTCACTTAAAAATCCTCCAACTATATGAATCTCCTAGCTTTGCTGTAATCAAGTGGTTTTTACACAATACCCTGTGGACCTGTTACCATGAAGCACCATGAAAACAAGGTATATCACTTATTTTCAGTCATTAGTTTTCAAATAGCTGACCATCCTAACAGCTAATCAAGAAGATAATCTCAGCAATAACAATTAGTATGAAAATGTCAGCATCTCAGCCAATCATCAAAGCGTCGAACTGCTTTTCCATTGCTATCTCCTCATTTAACTCGTCATGAACTTCCAGCAGATGTGCACTGCATGGATCTTGCTTCTCATCACCTAATTCGAGATCACACAAAGGTATTCTTCTTATTAATAAACCCACTCATTTATATTTGAATACTGACAACTATTTCTCCACAAACTAATTAATGACGGTTTTTGCCTGTTTAATGTGTTTATGTGCATCATGGAACATTACTGTTAGACATAATTCACCTTATTGAGTTATCAACATATAAGACATGGACTGGACATGCTGGAACCGAACTATTTATATTATACAAGTGTGTATTCAAGCCATACCCTATCATCGGGCTTGAAGTTTTGTGTCTCTACCGTTTTGACATAAAATCCCTTTTTACATATTGTCTTTTGATCCATCTGTTCTCACGCAAATTCAACTGACTAAACAACTGTCAAATAAGGCCACTCTATATATACTTGTAGACACTACAGTATATTTGCACTAGGTGGAAGAACGTACTAAGATCCAGTGAGAGATGTACTTATCATTCCAACATAAATAGATTTGTAGAACAGCTAGTTGACATCGGGCTTGAAGTTTTGTTTCTCTACCGTTTTGACATAAAATCCCTTTTTACATATTGTCTTTTGATCCATCTGTTCTCACGCAAATTCAACTGACTAAACAACTGTCAAATAAGGCCACTCTATATATACTTGTAGACACTACAGTATATTTGCACTAGGTGGAAGAACGTACTAAGATCCAGTGAGAGATGTACTTATCATTCCAACATAAATAGATTTGTAGAACAGCTAGTTGATAAAAAAATATACCGTCATGACAAAACTAATGCAAGGTGCTCATCCTAGTCAGCTCATTTAGAGTTCACAAACACAATAAGCATGCACTTGACAGTCTTTACTACCCATTCAGTAAACTATCTAACTGAGAATAATCTAGTGAAGTGTAAATTTTTGTCACACCAAACCCTTGACAAAACTCTGTTAACAACTTGCTTTTGTAGTCAATTCCTTGAGCCACATGAACCTCTTCAGGTGCTCCAAACTATGTTATCCATTGTTCAGCCAACACAACAATGACTGTGCTTAAGCTAATTTAGTGAAGTGATTGACAACTGCCAGCATGTACGTATTATCTTTCTCAGTTTTGCACAGACGAACAACTAAAGGGTGATTCCCTGTAGGAGGTACATACAACTCTGTCAGTTTTTCTGAAATAGCAGCTCAATGTTCCTTTGGGCAGAGTGGTGTTGAAATCATCTCTCAAAGTATTTATAAAAATGTGACCAAAATTTTCCCTGAAGTATAAGTTCAATGTTTCTTTGAACAGAGCAGTGTTTAAATAATCTCCTAATGTATTTAGAAGACTGTGGTCAGACAATTGGAACAGTGTATGACACTTCCAGGCGACCTTCTGTCCTTACATTAAAATATATTCCAAAGTATCCCCTTCTATAGAGTATTAGGGAGCACTGGCTGCGTCAGAAATTAGCTTCCACATCTTAATAATGGTACTGCACTTGTAACTGTCTGAATGCCTGTCAAATGTTATGTGTTTCAATACTACCTTTACTTACCTGTGAAAATCATGCTTCACCTTGCTGTTATATCTGTTTCTTTCAGTTATGTTACTCAAAAATTTTTAATCACTCATTTGTTGTGTCCATTTACAAGAAAAATTGTCAAACTTTGATTGCTGCATTGTGTTTAAGATTTGGTCACTTAACAAATACATGTATTCTCGCTGGCTGGCGAAACAATATGTTCACATTACAAAGTTGTTGACCAAGACAGTCTTGCATAATGAAGTTGTACTATTGAGCATAGTTTCCAACATGAAGTTATGCTTTTTAGATTATTGAAGTTTATAAGGCACATCAGTAATTCATGGTTCATTTGAATAGTGAACTTCCTACCATATGAGAAGTGGTGATCATATATACAAATGCTAACTGCAAGCAGTTCCTTTTTTATTGTACAGTTTTGATGCTCGTGAGATATTAGTGCACAGTTTGCTTAAGTAATTAAATGATCCATACCATCTTGTACCTGTGAAAATACTACTTCAATTTCACTGCCACTGGTACCAATATTATTGATGAATGAACACTTTTAACAAGGAACCAGTGCTTTGGTTGGAAGACATACTTCACGTATCAGTTTTAATCAGTGCAAATCACGGTGCTTTACCTTGAAGAAAATTACCACAAAATGTTAATACTATGACACCAAACACTGAAAGCTGCATCTTTTCATTTGGCCTGTCTCAGGCCAGACTGTTGCAATTGTTGTAGGATAAATGGACATTCCATATTTACTTATTATATGATTTAGAAGCTACTTTTATGCAAATGAATGTAAAATATTCTGGTTTAAGTTCAAACCTGAATTCATTATGTGTTGAGAACAACGTTAAGTTTCTCAGCTGTGTTCTGAATTGTGTGACCAACAACGAATATGTAATCCACATAGATGAGACATCTCTCCCACAGCTCTCAAAGTGGAAGCTCCATCAACCACTGGAAATTGATAGGAGTATTACTCATAATAAATGACTTGAGGTGTTGAAAGATGTCTTAGAACTATTTTTTCCTAGCACATACAAGCATATATCACATTTTTAGGTCAGAACAGAATTAAATAGTGCAATACCCTACAACCCTAAATTACTTACGTCAAAAATCATTACAATTATACTCTCAAGAAAGGTAAACCATCAGCTTATATCAAGTTCTACAAGTCTCCATACTTCCTCTCAACCAGATAATGGTCTGGTTCATGAGGAGTGCAGATATATAAACAGTATCAAGCAAGTATAAGCCTTTGTAGACTGACCACTGTGGAATGTATCTATAAAATAGAGGATTAATGCAAGAGTACGTCCTTTTCCACATCTTGTTTTCGACTACTTCAAATAACTAAATGTTGAGTACCTACACAAAAATATTGAAGAAGAAATGTTGAATAAACCTATTTATTTATGGAAGGATGCTGAAGCTACACAAAATTCAACTGAATAAAACTAGACTAATGTAAGATATGCCGTGTTTTGGATGAAATTTCATCAAAATATGGCGGGAAAATACTCGCTTATTTTTTTTCATAGCATTGAAAAATTAATTTATAATGAGTATAAATAACATATGAGAATAACCTTTTGTCAGAAAGAAATGGAAATGTATTTCCTGTGGTTTACCCAATTTCAAATTACAACAAAATTAAACCAGTGGCATGGAATGTGGTCGACCAAAAATATTTTTTTACTCTTGTCCTTTTCATGCATGATGAAATTCCTTTATCGCTCCATGAGCTTCATCATAGCAATTTGGCAAGATTCAGGCGTAGTATGCGAATGAAGAATACAGTTACATACAACTTTTTTTAGAGCATCAGTTGTATGAAACTTTTGTCTACAGAGACAACCCAGGAAAAGAAACAAACGTTGAAAGTCACTTGGTGGTAGGTCAGGGTCATATGCGAGATGGGAAAGGATTGTTCACCAAAGCCCCTCATTTGCAAGCATTGCGCAATGATAATCATGGGACCAATTATTTCCATTATCGAAATGTACATTTATCATTGTGTTGTTTGAGCACTTGGCGCAGACACTTCGAAGAAACGTTGTAAGTATCCTAATGCAATGTAGATCCAGAGGAAGTCTGCAGAGAAAAAAACAGTGTATGGGTATGAAATAGCTTTTTTACTAGGAATAATTTAAAATAAAACTCATCATCAATATAACTCAACAATACTCTTTATCTTTTTCGCGAAACCCTATTTGAAAATTATAAACATTATTCATAGTTTTTGAATTCTCTTTGATGATTTATCTAGGAACCTTCTGCACAACTGAGAAGAGTGGGAAAGGTGTTCCGTACAATGATTCTCAGCCACGCATCTCATCTTATTCGTGACAGAAAGTATCATACAAAGACTATACGTAGATGTCTTGTCGGCACTGAAATGGTGGACTGGCTCCTCCAGCAGGCAATTGGAGGTGCTGTGCGTATTCACTCTCGAGCCCAGGCTATTGGCATGTGGCAGGCGTTGTTAGAGGAAGGGGTGATTTCACACGGTAAGGACAATGACATAGTAAACGTTATAAGATTTCCAACAATGTTTTCTGCAACCTCTTTGTGTGAACATGGCTATTGTATTATTTTCTTTGTTAAAGACGCTAAATGATGTCCTATACTAAATGGCATGTTTATGTCTTTCAGTTCCTGTACATTTTGTGAGGTTCTTAAATCTCATATACTCAAATTTATACAATTATATACTTTCTGCACATGGCAAACATATATTATGTAATTGTATGCTTGTGTACCTGTATAGGTTTAGCATTTCATTGCGAGTATCTGAAACCAATAAAATAAACATAAAACAGTTACATATCTACTTTTTACATAATAAAACGATATATTAACATCCTAACTTATGAGTAATATATTATAACAACTTTTAATCTAATTAAACATACTTTAACTACGAAATGTAGAGATATGTAACTTGCATAAGATTTTCATAAGAAAATTTATTATTTTAAACGAGAGTATTTGGAATAGCTTTCAATGTAACACTGATTTAAATTACTTTTTCTACTGTTAATGGTATTATTTAAGATGTACGAATATTCGGTTTTATATTTCGTGTGGTAAGAAAGTGTACTTTAAATTTTACACTAGTAATTCTCATTACCAGTACTTTATTATAAATTCTTAAATTATGATAGCTTTTAGTTCTACTTTACGTAGCGAAAACTCTATAAGCTTCTAAGCATTAATGTAATAATCCTTTAAGAATGCTGAGTTACCTTGTAGCAACGTTAAAGGTACGTCATATAACATTTAACTTTCCAAAAATAACTTTATTGTAAAATCCCACGAAAATAGTCATGTGTATGCTATCCAGAAATAGTTATGACATTAATAGAACATTTATCATTTATACTTAAACACATAAACACTTGATACAGTGCATATATTTCCTAGCCAGAATTGCAGAGAAATTTCTTGAACATAATTATAAAATCATTCTGTATTTCACGTCCAAATATTCCTCGACTGAGTAATCTATTTGTCTCTGCTTCTATCTTATCTTAAGAGATATCTGATAATAATTTACTGCATTTTAACTATATATATATATGTTTGGTTGGTAAAAATAATGTTGCCATCAGAATTATTCGCAATTTGGTAATGATTAGGTTAGAAAGACCTCTTAATTGATTTCAGGACTACTCGGCATTTGGTTATGATATGACAAGGAAAGTAAAATTTCTTAGTTATTACAAGAACTGTTCTGGGTTTAATTAAATCAAATGTAAAAATTTTATTTGTCGTCAGAACGTTTTCGGATTTTGGCAACAATTATCAGGTACGTGTGAATATTAATTATTGTCAGAGTTGTTCGCTTCTTGGTAACGAACAGATAAGTAAGACATCGTAATTGTTGTAAGAGGTGTTAAAATTTTAGTAATGACCAAGAAGGACAATATTTTTAATTTACGTCAAACTTAAATATTATTACTATGATTCTTTAGAACTTCTCCTTAGTATCTTGAAAATTCTGTTTATTATCTAGACAAATAGTATGCAAGAAGATTTTGTTTTACCCAAATAATGATATACCACGCGTACCTTAAAGATCACAGACCATCGCACGAGAAGTAAAATGTTTTTTGATTACTTAAATAATCAAAAATAAACAACTGAAACACTTTAAGAAATTAGGATATTTTTCCATGAGGGACGGGTTATTTCAGAGGTGTATGCATGCATAGATTATTTAGCTACTGAGATAACAAATATTTGTTACCTAAGGTAAAATTTGAGTAATTAATGTTTTGAAACACAACACAATTATTAGAGTTGAACATTTAACAATGACATTTGACAGATTAATTTATTTTGATCATTAGGATGTATTTTATCCTCAAAGATTACAAAATAAATTATTAAGTAAAATATTTTTTCATATGAGGAGCTGAAATCAAGAAACATGCCAAAGCCCCTTTTGGGGTAAATAACACTTACTGTAAAAAGAAGCAAAAGGAAAACAATAATCTATTGGCCTCAAGCAGCACCTGCTTAAAACCTTACTTTCCAAACCTTAATAGGGAGAGCATAAAATAGCAATTATTCACTTGTCATAGATCAAACCAACAAAACTTTAACCAATGTTAAACAGGCAGCTGAAATTTATGTCTATGGTTTTTCTTTTTGAATTTCCATGGCTAGGATTGCCCAGATGCTTTATGACTTCACTTTGTTCATTCTTCCGCCCTAAAAAAAAGGCAGAGCCACCGAGAGCCCCAGTGAAGAATTGGTTTGTGTCCTCCCCCACTAATAGTTTTGGGGATTATGTAACCTTCATGCAGATGTGATTGCAATTTTGATGGAAAAATTGTTTTTTTGGCAAAATGTAAAAAACAATGTGTATTTTAAAGCAATATTAAGTGTGAATTCTCCGATTCTTTTTGCTTCTCAGAAAAACTCAAAGACGAAACCTGAAGACTTTATTGAAAAATATCATGTCGCTTCCAAGCCAAAAAAAACAAACAAATTTCTCTTCTCCCTAACAAAAGCACAGTAAAAGATGGACTAAAATTGCAAAGAAGCCGTAAAAACCGTCTCTATTAAATAATTTTGAATGAATGTTAGCTTAAATGTTCTGAACTGATTTGATACATTGTTTGTCGCTCTAATGAGCTCCGTTGGATTATTCCCAACTTAATCATTGGGCCTGAAGAAATGGCATGGATCTTTCCAACTAAATTTCCCGAACAGTATCTATTGGATTTTATTGAAACTTTACAGTAATATTCTATAGGAAGTGTAGATATACATCTATTGTTTTGGCGCAATTTCTTGTTTCATTTATCTATGTATGGAGGATGGAGCGAAACAAGTTACTTGTACGTGAGCATATATGGCATTCTGCCACATTTCTTATTTGTAAAATCGTTATAAACCTTTTTTTATTTTATAATAAATTGTTTTAGAAACTTTCTACATATTATTTCTGTCTTATAGGAACAGCGAATAATATATTTCTTATCCAAGTAACGCTGAGTTACTAGTGTCTTTGATTATTAAGTAGTCAAAGTGTTTTGCTTTCAACACTAAATCAGTAAGTGGAGTATACAAGCCTAACCAACAAGATAGTTGATGTGCTAGAACATGGTTTTGGTAAGCCACTTCTTAATCAGCTGCTTTTGTGATTTAAATATTCCTGTACTTTTTTTTAACCAGTTGACAATTTTGTTTTAATATAGATTTATAATTTTGCTTTAATTTACGATAAATACGCAATGTCAGTGTAATCGATTTTATGAATCTTTCTCAGGAGTCTCAAAATAAATTACACACTGCATAGCTTCAGTTAAGTAACCCGAAAATTAGAATTAGTCATATTAATATGCTTTTATATCATAATAAAGACTCGTGAAAGAATGACTTAGATGGAAAGATATATCAGTTTACTTTGTATCATTAATACTTAAGTTTCAATGTGTTTACAATATTAGGCTTTAGACTGAAACAGGAAAATATATATTTCATGACGTGTCGGTCGGTCATACATATTTATTGGCAGTTCAGTAGCACAAATGATTTCCCTTGCTATATATTACTATATATATATATATACATATATTATTATTATATTTCTCTTCATATATATATATATATATATATACTGACCTTTGGAATGTATATAAAAGTAAGAAACTTATTTCTATGATGCCTGGGTTCAAGAGTACCTAAACAAAGCAAGAAATATGTTAACCCTATCATTATAGATTAATATCTAGTAAGAAATATTTTATTTGTGAAGACTGTGTAAAAATCTCACGCAGTAGTATAGAGTACAAAATTAGCTACAGCGAGGCAAAGTTCAGAAATATTAGAGATTCAGTTTCAAAATTAGGTGTATAATCGCATGAACATACAAATTACTGTTACAGGTCCTTCCCTTAAAGTAAAAGTGAAAATGAAAAAATGTAGATCAAGACTGTTTCTACTTTGATCGTCCAGAAATTTAACAAAAACATTCATTACAATCCGCTGTATTATACGTTAGGCTATATTTCAAATATGAGACGAGTTTTAAATTATCCCAAAATATAAGCTAGATCATAACTCCATGAATTATGGCTATGAACACATATTACACTGTTCAAATGGAAAAGCACTATATTTAGAGGTAACTGTATTAGGGGAATAATCTTTTCCTCTACCACCCCACTCTCATCTAAAGTGGACCAGTATGGAAAATAATTGTGAACCACTGCATTAAACTTTTATTTAGGAATATTGGCAAAGCAGATATACATCTCAAATAGATGTATTGATTTTACAAATGCTCATTATTCACATGGACTCCATAATAAATCATTAAAATCCTAATTTCCTCTCTGTGTATTATTCAAAGTAATTATGCCTTCACATGCACTAACGAGTTCTCACTCTCTACATTAGGCAGCTATAACTTAAAGTTTTATCACTTTAGTTGTGTACAAATCTCCAACCACATACAAAATGTAGGACATCAGATTTCAACAGTTTTAAATAGCCTGCTCAAATGTAGAAATTATAACTTTATTCTAACGTTTTCCTTGACAAATATTCCGTTCAGAAAGCCTAATTTTGCCAACTTTATACAAGTGAAAAAGAACTCCAACACAAGGACTTGAACCCGGGAGTTATGGCTAACATGCAATTTCAATGATAATAGATGAAAGCACGGCATTTTTTCCATTTAGCTATCAGCAATGGACATGCACTTAATAGTTTACAAACAAACATAAAAGTTCGTTTTACAATAAAAGAAAATATCGCGGACTCATTGTATTTATAAAAGCTGTTACGTATTATGAATTTCAAATAGTCCGAAGCCAAATTAAATAACTTAGATTTAATAGTTAAATCGTACTCTGGATTTAGTATCTAAATATACGCCGATATTTTAGTTAATTTACGATATTTGCCAACAAGATTGATACACACCGTTTTCGTTTTTAACATAAAAACGTTTTAATATATATACAACAGTACAATTTACAATACAATTATTACGACTAGTTAATACAAACAAAGTTTCACAAACAAAAATCTCACTAACTTACAAACAATATAAAAATATTATTTCTAGTTTGGAGTCCCCTTGATATCTAGCGAGTTAACTTGAAGTCGATTTGCTGAGAAGCTAGCTAGCTTTGTCTCGCTTGCCGCACACACTGAATTGTAGGTCCATTGAAGTAATATTTTCATAAAGATACTAATGTCCGATGAGAATCCACTGATGTTAAACGATTTGTAATGATCAAATGTCTTACATTTTCCGATTGATGAGTGTTATAGAAATCACGGTTATAGCTCTCGAAGTTTTATGGCAAACTGTTTATAGCGGACTATTAATAATCTCTCTCTTTGGCGCGTTGCGTTGGCTGTTTTTATAAGCGCGGGAAAGGTTTTTCTCGAAAATTCAGACAACAATACTGAGCTATAGTTAACCGGTTATGGAAATGGATATATTGTCGATTCTTACATTCATGATTCTTCTACAACTTTGGAGAATTGGTGGGAGTTTCGCAATACGTATCTAACATTGTAAGCTTGGCACGTTTTTGAATATAAACTCAATCCAAACGAACATTGACATCAAGATAAATATATAACACATTCGTTACACGCAATACATATCTAACACTATAAGCTACGCATATTTTTAAATACAAATTGAATCTAAACAACGTTCATATTAAAATAAATACATAACAACAAATTCGTTACAAAGCAAGCTTAAATTTCATTTGGATTTTTCATAATATTACGAAAAGGCATGCTCTGTATCTCCTGAAAAGTTAATCGTGGAAAAAGTTATATATCAGAATGCTTCTTTTCAAGAGTACATTACAGGAAAATTATTCATTTGAGAAAATTGAGAAAACAAAACTTATTAACCAATTGCATCGAAACCCAAACTATTTTTACAACCATACATTGCAGTAAGTCTCCTTTGCTTAAAAAAAAAACGTAATGCAATATTTCCTTATTGAAATAACACATGAAATAACAAAAGATGGTTGTAAACAATCATATGTCATATACGATCAGATCTAAGATTAGGTTGACAGCACGTTTTATATTTATTAATCACTATCTTTAAGAAAATTACCGTTGAATTGTTTCAACGGGCATCTGCTAGCTGATGCAATATTTCATATCTAATATTTTCTAAATCTTTAATTTTTTATATATTTCAGTTTATATTTTATGTTTTCAAACTTTTTACTTTTATTGACATGCATTTTTGTATTTTATATAAGTTGTAATCATTAATATTTCTCTTTTCCACTTTGTGTATATTGTTGTATTTGTTTTTCAAACAAAACTACATATAGTGCTATCTATTCGGTGTCTACTGCCGGACTCGAACCCACGCAGTAATCAAGGGTTATAAATATTCAATCAGAATCTCAAAAGCGCTTGACGACCCGCTTTTTTCCTTACTAGATATTGAATTTAATATCAGACTGGTGGAAAAGGGTACTTGAGATCCACATTTTGTCTGCCACTACTTACTTTCTTCATTAAATGACATTTTCTTCCCATGCTCAGACATGAAAAAACCATAAGTGACTTATTAATACATCATGGTGAAACAAACACATTAGCTATTGAACTGAAACTATACGATAGCTATTTTTCTATTTTGAAACAACAGAGAAGGTTTCATGAAATCACAACGGTGACACTTAACTTGCGTATTTATCTTACATTAAAACAAAATAAATGTTTAAAATAATTTACGGAGATATTCAAATCACTGACGTTTTTAACTTATATACTGTAATCACCTTGTTGCACATCAACCATCTCAAATTGTTGGTTACGCACGCAGATTCAATGCACTGAACGTGAACAATTTACTAAAGGCTATCCATACAATTTCAGTGTTTAAAGCGAACAAATTTGCGGCATGTTAATCAAAAGCATAGCGATCCAACAAAGTTTTTATAGTGTTGTAAGCAACAAAAACAATAAGTGTTCAAATAGGGTTGAAACAATAATTAGAACTTTACAAGGCGATTTGAAATAAAATAATAAGAAAGAGACTTATAATCCATTTAAACATAAAGTTCATAGAGGTTAGATATCAGTAACACGTTGTCCTTCTTACAAACTAATTTCATTTCAATGTTTTACATTGATTATGAGCTTCCAGTTTCGTTATAATGATTTTAAAGGAATTTTATAGTTTTTATCTCATTTATGACCATATTAATAGTTTAGATTTTATAAATAATACCTGATTTAATTATTAAGAATATCAATATTTATTACAATACTAAAGTAGCAGGCATATATCTTTAACTACCTCAAATTAATGCGTACTAGCAAGAATAACATAACACTGGACAACAAGGGAACATTTGGTCCTTCAAGGCTGTCCTTGCGTACCCTCCCTTGAGAAAACAAAAAATTTAGACTCACCCTTTATTTGGTCAGGAAATCATTGATTTTTACCTCTTAAACATTTGCAAAGTTCCTGCTTCCGTCGCTAAGACTCTCAGCGGTAAGCCTAAAACTTTATAACACTAAAAATCGTATTTCGATACTCTCGGTCGGTACATCAAATATAGACCATTGTTTAGCTTTATATTTGGTAAGAAAGAAAGAAACTAATACCATCAAAGACAACTCATTCTACGAGTCTATAACATCGTTTTAGAGCAATAATAACCGTCCTATTTGGAGCCTAGCTAATCTGTGCTCTCTTTTCATTTTTTGTTGTTCGAGAATGAGTATTATTACTTAACTCTTAAAGTCGACGGAACACCAAAACAAAATTACAGAAATGAACGATCTCATAACACTCAAGTGTAGTTTTTTATTTAATCAGACATAGTATGTTTCACTTTACAACTTCAACGCTTCAGTTGTTTCTATAAGAAATTCTAAACGATTCTATAGCGTGCGATTCTACAGCATGTGTTTGATATTATACGTAGTAAAACTTGTTACAGAAAAGGAATAGTGTTCAAAACTTAAATTCTTTATATTTTTAACAACAAATATCTACCTTTTTACATATAAAAATTTTCAAGAACTACAGGAAAAACAAATTAATATCACACCATCTTTAACACAAAAAACACAGAGAAATCAAGAAATAAGACAATTTCCAGTACCTCTAAATGACGAAACTATCTCCAAGAAAATAAGAACCATAATCCAGAAATCTGAACTACTTATAAAAGTTACAGAACGGTCAAAGATAACTCTCAGAAGTCAACTTTCAAAATCCCAGTACACTACTCTACAGTGCAATAAAGCCAACTGTTTTACCAAAACGTTTTTATAATCTAAAGATGGATGTCTTGCTTCCAATGTTGTTTATCAACTTACATGTAACATCTGCCATCATACATACATTGTGGGAAGAACCTTCTCCTACAAGGATAGGAGAACATCTTGACATTCGTCACAAACTACAACATGAGAGAAGCGTAGCTGCAGATCATTTTTAACTCATCATGCCCAAGTAACTTCTAAAATGAATCTACCAGTCCCGAATATAACAATAGAAAATATAAAAAGGCTTAATAGAACAGTTCAAATGTTTTACAATATACATTTTCAACAATAGGTTGTCCTACGTTTAGTATCAAACGCACGCTATATACTAACCGATTAGAATTTCTTGTATAAACCAACTGAAGCTTTTTACTGTCGGTTATGGATTGTTTTTTAGTGGAAAGCTTCTGAAGAAGCTGTGAAGTAAAACGTTGAGTGTCGAATTAAATTACACGCAGTAACTAAATTTAGCGTTATAAGGCTGTTTATTTCTAAAATTAAGATTTTTTTTTCCTCCAATATGAATTTCAGAAATTAAATAATGCATTACCCAAACAAAATTGTTGACCAAACCACATGCAGAAACATATATGAAGTTAACAATTTTAAACAATTCTTGAATTAAAATGAATACATATTAACTGTATACATTGTTTCTGTTTATTGCATAGTTATTAAAATATTCGGCTGAGATAGAGAAAGTTCTTCAATATTCGAAAATAATATAGTATTAATAGGTGCGTTGAGAATTAAATTTGAATCTTATGTTTTTAATGAATTTTTAGCTGAAGGTATACTTACACATTATTTTGATAATTGGTTAATTATTTGAATAGCGAATGAGGTATTCACTACTAAGTATCTATATGAAAATATCTTTAATAAAATTATAGTACTGTAATTCGTTGAGCATATTTACCCTAATACATACACTCACAGAGAATGTTATTCGGAGAGTACAACACAAAAAAACTGTACTTTGTAGCAACACCATCATAATACACTCAGTTAGTTCACGTACGCGCTTTAAGTGTATGCCTCTTCAAAGTACACATTAGTGATTGTATAGCAAACAGAGAAACAAGTTTTTCAAAGACGTAGCTGTAACTGCCTGTTTAGACACAATAGGTGAGTGGCAGGTGCTCTAAGAAATAACAAGTTGTAGTGAATACGTTCTGAAGCCACGTGTAGCAGAGAGGTAGACGTTTTAAAATACATGTTAGCATACGTGATGAGGTTTGTAAAATAAGGTTTGATATATAGATGCAGTACTTGAATATCTGTTGGAAGATAAAATACAATTGTTTTGTTTTTGTTTCTGCAGCTATATCTTTACAGCTGGTGAAGTTTACACCAAAAGAGGATTTGACATATTTCTTGTAATCAGCTCTTTATTTGTGTCTTGCAATATGTTAATTAAAAAAAGTAATAAGAAAATTCATAGACAAAATAAAATGAGAACTTATGCAGAGTGGTCATACTAACAAAAAATATGTAAATATGTATGTAATGAAATCTGTAAATCAGATTTTAACTTCTGAAGGAATATTGCGCTATATACATAGCTAGTTTTCGTCAGTTAAATTATGAAATAGAGTGTACATTAGTTAATACTACTCTACAATTATATTTATTGTTTGATATATCAAATGAATCATCTAGTTTCACAGGAATACCAATTCAAAGACAAACATCTGTTCTATCGGTTTCGAGAAGATCAAGATGGATTTGGTACAACACCTTCTCAGGATGATCGTCATTTAGCAGAGAAAGAAATCCAGGAATCTCTAACAGTATTACTCCAATTGTCACCTGAAGCTATCCTAAGAAGTATTGTGCGCAAACCGTATGTCAGCTTGTTTCCTCAGTATACATAAAGAACGGAGAAGGTTAAAAGATTTCTGATTAGTTTGTGATATAAGCATAAAAATATGTTTAAATTTTGTAGTATATGTACAAAATAATATAATGTAATAATAATAAATATAATATTATAAATATAAATATTACATATAATGTAATAATAAATTAACACATCGTGTATAGCCATTAGTGAAAAAAACACAGTAAACGGAACAAACTGTCAGAAGTCTGACATTAGGGAAACTAGTTTCGACACATTCGTGCGTCCTCTTCAGTCTCACGTTGTCTTCTGAAGGTCTTTTTGAACATTTGATTTATTAAGGACATCCTTAGCTTCTGAATGGTCAGCAACAACGATAGAGCTACGCAGTAAACACAGAATTCGCTCCTTTCTTTTTTTGCTGTACAAAAGGTATTTTTCATATTTCTATTCCTATATGAAACAGCCAGTTACATTCAAGAATGGAAAACGATAGATACACCATTGCAGCCGACAATTTGGTATACCGTATTAGCTGTATTGCTGATGCACATTGCAGTGTGTTAGCTACATCACAATTGGAATATGTGCAAATCGTCATTTACCGCAAAGCTTCATCATTACTTGGTCGGCACTTTGGTTCTTAACAATAGGATAACGGTTAAATAGAAATTCTTTAAAATCTATAGCTCTGAGACCATAACTGTTATAACATTCATGTAAAATAAGTCTAGTTACAATCAAGCATCCTATATTAATCCATGTTGTTTGCTTGTGAGTTTGTTTGTCCACGAGCACCTCCCACAGTTTTGAAGCTAGCAGGACCAAACTTAGTAGACAGACTCGGGGTGGCCTTATCTGTATGTCATAATACTCTACCAAGAGTTGCTAAAATGCATCTGGAAGATCGCCCAGGAATGATTGAGGTCTAGGAGTACGTTTGCAGGGTCGCTGAACTCGAACCTGATGTCGCATTTTGTGTTCCTGGCCCTCCTACGAATTCTGGGGGCTCAATTTTTAAAGCTGTGTTTACTTACACCCCCTTAGGGAGTTCATTTTGGGTACGGACTCCCTTCCTTAAGGTAGCTATTGAAATAATTGGAGATAACGAAGGAGATTGATCGGTAAATTGAGACCTCTGTGAATCATGAGAAGGACAATGAAACCCGTCACAGAATTCGGGTATTTTGTGCTAGTAATAAGAACAGAAATGCATTTACTTTAGTAAAATATCTTATAATATATTATTTCTGAGTTTATTAATTAATGTGTTTTTGTAACAGTAATATTTGTAATTTCTTAAGGTCTCTGAATTAAACCATATTTCAGATTTTGTTCCTGATCTGCGCAACGGAAGATGCATAAATATGTAAATGTTCAATTTTAGTAACAACAATGATAGATAAAGTGAAACACCACTGACTCAGATGATCAAAATCTTTTTATTATGATGTTAAATGTAAAATCTTTTATCGTAAATACGGCATTTAAATACGACGTCTAATCTTTTGTATAAATGATTTAAAGATGAATGAGTTTTAATTCGACTTACATCACCTAGGGATGATCCCATTGTGTTCATTGGTGCAGGCAAGTCTAAGATATAATTGTGATTATACCTGGTCTAAATAAATTTGGAATTTTTTTCTTTGTTGAAAATAATATTTGGTTCTCTTTTGGTAATTATATATCTACAGTTTTGTTGAGGAGCAAAAACAAATGAACTCCGCTAGTTGAAGGTGCCATGCACATTCAATACTATTAATAAAACCTTTATAGAATTAGTTAAATTCAAAACGTAGTTAAAATGATACCAAAGTGCCGTGTATATCGTAGTACTAAATATTATCCAATAAAACAGCTGGTTATGTCAGTTATACCTATTAACTGTAACTGCTCTTTTTGTAAAATTATTATTACAGTAGAATGCGATACTAATTAACCACCGTCCGAAAATATAGAACATACTTAAGCACTCTCCTTTCTCTTACACGGTTAAATTTTCCGTGTGAAAGATATTTAATGTATTTAGAATAGCTTTGAATTTTTTTCCTATTTTCACAAGCTAAAATAGCCAAATCAATCCGGTTTTAAGAGGAGGTAAACAAACTAGTAGGTAAAAATTCACAGCTGACAGATGAAAAAAAGTATTTTGCGTATGACATGTTTGTCATGTTTTGTAAGTCTTTAGAAGGAAATGGTATGACCAGCAACATATATTGGGTATAATCTTATAACTTAGACGAAATATGAACTTATTTCTCGCCAGTAACATTAACTAAAAGCCTATAGTCTATTATAGGATTACTGTCATTGTACGAAGCATCATGATTGTTTGAAGTTTTTCGGTATGTACGAACGTAATACTAACTTTTTGGTACATATTTATTAACCTCCATTCACAAATTTCTTTGTTAATGATACTTAGAGAACATGATTATACAGACAACTTTCAACACAATATAAAGAACGGAAAAGATATGCATTCATAATAAAGAGACAATTTATGTAAACAGATAGACTGTTATTTTGTTATGTAAGATTTTTAAAATCTACTCGATAGAGAGAACTCAAACGTTTTAACAACTAATTTCACCGAGATAGTACTTTCTCTTATTTATTCTGAGCTAAATATTTCTCGTTATTTCTATTCCGGTATCTAAAACCCGTAAGCGAATCTATATAATACACATATTAATGTTGAATTTCTATTTAAATTCCATTTCATGTAGTCCTGAAGACCGAACAGGAGACGACATAGAAATAATTTACGAAGAACTGTTCCATATCAAAGCTTTATCACACTTGTCAAACAGCATAAAGAGAGAATTAGCTGGTGTGTTATTATTTGAAACACATCTGAGAGCAGGAACCGTTTGTAAGTATGTTACGTATTTTGTTTGATTTCCAAATGAAATTATTTCAGATAACACTTAAAGAAATATAAACATGTCTGACATGGTACACTTTTCTCAATATTTCTTAATTTACGTGTTTCATCTACATAATAAGATATTTCAATTAAAGGTATGCGATCTAGAGATATATTTTAACTGAACTATATCATGTACTTGTAAATAAGAGTGATGATATTATATAAAATAGTTCATAATTCAAGTTAACTCAACAAATCTTTGTTGAAACCCAATGTTGCTTGGAGAATTTCAGTGAAACTTTGTTGATTTTCAAATCAATTTATTCTTTTAATTACAACGTTTAGCTATATTCATGATAATAACAAAACAGTTTAAAAGTGTCAAGCATTCAAAGTTCTCTTTAATTGATGACACGCCAAAGAATATTCCTAGTAGTAAGTAATAAGTGACACAATGTAAAACCCATTGCATACAATGACATATATGGTATTTAATTGTTCATAGCCGATTTATTGAACACGTGAAGTGATGTTGTCAATTTAGTAGATAATATAATAATGTTTTTATATTCACTCTTAGAAAAGGGTTTATCGAAAGTGATTTCTTGCCATCATAAAATTGGATAAAATATTTTACTACATTTCCTATAATTAAAACAAACGTATTCGTGTGTTATCCAAAAAATAATTTTCCACAACTATTTAAAAAAAAATCTTCCAATACAAAGACATTACACTGTTAAGTCTAAATAACATGTTTCAACATATTAATATTTTTAGCAGCACTAAAATATCGAAAATACTACACGCGATTAACAAATCTCCCAGTCTGTGAAAATTCTGTACTAGCTTCATATACGTAAGAATATAAAAGACACAAGTTGCCAGACTTTCGAGCTCTTATTGTTACATCTTACTACTCTTTATTAAGGTTGTGTGGTTCGCTTCCCCACTCCCTCGTTACCACACAAAAATAGCTCTCCGCACTTATGAGTCATGGGTGTGTTATGGGTGGTCAAATCCCAATTTTCTATTATAGTAACCCATTAGTTGGAGATAAGTGATGTTGACTAGATAACTTCTCTTTAATCTTCTCTAGTCTATAATCTTAAGATTAGGAATGACTAATGTAGATAGCCCTCGAGAAGCTATGCACGAATTCAGCATCAAACAAATAATTATATACTGTAACGAATTTATTATTATGTATTTATTTTTAATATGAATGTTGTTTGGATTGAATATGAATTTAGAAATATGCATGACCTGTAGTGTCAGATATGTGTTGCGTATAATGAATTTGTTATATATTTATTTTAATGTCAACGTTTGTTTTGAACAAGTTTCTATTTGAGGGCGTGTCTAGCTTACCGTGTTAGTTAGGTATGGCGAAAGTCCCGCCAATTCTCCAAGGTTGTAGAATATTCGTGAACACAGTATCAACAATATATCCACTTCCGTAACCGGTATTGTCCGAAAAAGATCAAGGCCAAAGAAGAAACAATTAAGTATGCTAGGAACCATGTGTACGCTATAAGCCGTGATTTTTCTAACCCTTATCAACCAGAAAATATACGACATTTGACCAGGAACAGCTACAAATTTCGAACGTCAGTGAATTCTCATCAAACTTTAGCTGGTTTCTCATCGGACATTAGTGGTTTTATGAAAATATTAACTTACTCCGATAGTCCAACAATTCAGTGCCTAACAAAGCTAGCTAGCTTCCCGACAATTGTACGTACATCGACTTCAAGTTAACCCGATTATATCAAGGAGACTTTGAACTAGGAAGGCGATTTTAGGCTATTTGTAAGGTAATGAAATTTCTGTTTATGAAACTTGGTGTGTAATAATTAATCCTAATAGTTGCTATTGTAAATTATACTGTTGTGTATATATTAAAACGTATTTGTGTCAAAAACAAAAATGGTGTGAATCAATTTTGTTGGCAAATAGCGTAAATTAAATTAAATATCGGCATATTTCTAAGCAATAAATCCAGGGTATATTTCAACTATTAAAATTTATATTATTTAACTCGGCTGAGGATTATTTCAAATCCTCAATACGTAACATAATACATTGGGGGCTCGTCCGAGATTTGAATCAGAGACAAAATTCGATTTAAATTAAAATTTAAATCATAACTGAATTTATATTTATCAGTGCCGACAAGAGTTGATCATTTCTGATCATCAGTATTTTCGTGTATCACCGTTCCCTAGAACAGCTAGAAAAATATAACATAAATGAATTACTCGAAATTGCCAAGGTTTTAGAACTAGAAGTTAAAAGGTCAATGAGAAAAAATGAACTAAAAAATCATATGATCGAAATAATAGTCGATGATAATTTGTTGCCTGAGGAAGCATTAGTGGAATACTCTAGTGTCCCTACTAGCCAGTCGGGGATGAGTGATAAAGAAAGATTAGAGATTCAGCTAAAACTCAAAGAAATCGAGCTCGAACAAAATCGTATTGAAGCCGAGAAAGAACAAACTCGTATTGAAGCCGAGAACGAATGAGCTCGTATTGAGGCCGAAAAAGAAATTAGGCTGAAAGAAATGAAAATTAGACTCAACACTAATTGACCAAAGCAAAATGACAACTTTGAGCTTAATCGATATGTTAAAGTACCACCGTTCAATGAAAATGAAACAGATACATATTTTCAACATTTTGAGAAGGTTTACCAAACCATGGAATGTCCCACCGGAAAATGGTCATTATTATTACAAAGTGTCTTAACTGGTAAAGCACAAGAAGCTTACACCGCTC